CTTATGGCTGAATCTTCGAGCGCAGAACTGACAAGGAAATGGCTTTTCTCCCGTGTGAATCCTGCGATGACGTTCTAATTTGGACTTGAAACAGAATGCTTTTCCACAATCTTCACAACAAAATTTCTTTGCATTTTCATGCACAAAACCTACAGAAAAGTCAAACGATGTTAAATCTGAATTTAAAAATCGAACATAAATCAATAAATAGAACCACAAATGCAGAAAATATGTTCGACTTATTGGCTATATCTTAAAAATAAATCTATATTTAATCTAAAATAAATCCAATTTCAAAACACTAATTTATCGTGAAATGCAGAAAACAATCGTTTATAACAATTTCTTCGATTCTTTCGGTCCCGACAAAAATTGTTCAAGGTTCATTTACAGACACATTTTTCTCGATAAATTTATCACAAAGAAAGTCTTTCCGATCTTTAAATCCATTTTCTCAGTAGTAAATGTTCACTTCTTTCTTCGAAACTTTCAGATTTTATCCGTAATTCTTCGGGCGTAATGTTGGACTCCTCCAAAGTGTATCCTAGAAGAAAAAACGTAAATATGAAACATTGTAGAATAAAACTTTCATTTTTATTATTAATTTCTTACTTAAAACAAATATGACAGACTTTTACATGACATATAAATATTAAATATACTCACGACCTTTCGGGATACTTAAGGACAGAATTGGAAAATCTAAAAAATAAACCAGATATATTAATGATCCATAAACTGATACAATTCTCCGAGTATTTTCCTCCTCTTAACATTAAAGAGAAATAATACGCCTTGTTTGAGAGGAAAGAAAATTTACTTCTAACGATAGAGACAAAAGGTGACTCAAACCGTTTCATTCACGTGCTACGGGAATAAAGGAAATTGTGTCTCTCTTTAAATATAATAAAATATCCGTTAATTTCACGAAACCCATTTATATTTTAAGTGCCTTATCGAATTAAATTTTAAAAGTATCCTAATTATTTAATCTGTTTGAGTATTTACTCGGAAAGCGTCTACGTGAAACGTTCATCTCACCTCATATCGTTGTCGGTATTTCTCTTCCTTGCAACAAATCTCCTCCCTCTCTTAATTAAAAAAGTCTACATTTTTCTCCTATTTATAATGCACAAACTCTAGATCTTCCTTTTCAAATTTAGTGAAATTGACGGTTAAGTCGGCAGTTACAAATTTAAAAAAATCTAGTGACTCCGCCTGACATTCAAAAGGGAAAAGTCAAAAAACATCGACGTCACTCGCTAAGGTTACGTATTTCTTTGACATAATTTTATCTCAAGTGTATATCGCATATTCCCAATTGAATAGTTGTTATTAGTACGCAATACGCGTAATTATTTATTGCGAATCAAAACGTCCATCGACATTTATTATCTGTTATTACTAGTGATGTAACGAATATTCGGTTACTATTCGTTATTCGGCCTATTCGGCCTATTTTTCGCTATTCGGCCGAATACCGAATACATAAAAACAGGAGTGAGAAATAACAAAAACACAGTAAATTAATCATTTTGGTATTTAGATTTAATGTTATCGGGTTAGCGTTGTTTGTTTATACTTATTTGTAACTTGTAACATGCACAAAATAAAAAAGAAAATAATATTAGTCACACGTATTCACAATTTATAATTACAAAGATCAGTACACGTACACACCTATTCGTTCGAGAACCGTCGCACATCTGAGATCTGACCCTGCCTATCCTTCTTTTTAAGCATTCGTCTTTTCTCTTCCCTTTCTCTTTCTTCTATCTCTCTAGTCCACGTATGCCTATGCATATATCACAATACGCCCTCACAATACTTTCTATTCGTCACTTTTCCCGTCGTAGATTTCCCATTTTACAATTAGGTGACTCATAGCCTGGTGATAACGGAGAAAAGAGACAGAGAGGACGTCGGTATAAGTCACAGTTATGATTTCACAGATTCCAGATAACTTGGTAGCCCGAACGGCCCCAGGCTTTCGCCCGTGCACGCCAAGTGACTTTCATTACAAGCATTTAGCTTTCCGAAGTCCACAACAATTGTTTGGCATTGACGGCCGCGAATTTCGTGCCAATAAGCTGCCTCGACTTGTTCGATTATGTTATCAACTCAATTTCGTATTTATTTTCACTTCGTGGTCCTTCTCTGTTCTTTTTCCGTTATTTACACGTGTAGGTCATTTCATTGTTATCCACATTTTATATCATCATTTATCACATACTGCCATGACGCTCCTGTCTGTACGCTACAACTGTCGAGAATTAACGCGATTGGCGAACCGTAGTGACAGCGGGCCAATAGAAAGCAGGGTCGTTGTCATAATTCGGTTTGCGTGCCAATTTTCGAAGGTGCGTTAATCGACCCAAATAGTTTGGCCGAATATTCGGCTATTCGGCCACGCCCTGGCCGAATATTCGGTATTCGGCCTGAAATCGAATATACTATTCGTTGCAACACTAGTTATTTATTACCTTTCAATGCTTAATTATTTTCGTCGTTTCGTCATTGAAGTTATTGATTGTATTGTAACTGCTTCCTCTGATAACTGGGAAATTTAGCGTATATTTGTGACTACTTTTCAACTTTTTCACTTTCCTCCTGTAATTTATAAAATAAAGGCATTCCCGCTGAAATCAATTTCAACTGAAGTGTATATGAAATGCAATTTTATTTAAAAGAATTAGAAACAATCCAAGTTTGTGTCGTTACGATATGTACTATTGGCGACACTACAGGCCATCCGAGGCTCGTCCATCGTCAGTCATAGAGCGCACCATGCGTGTCTCTTCCTGTAAAGCGTTTAGTTAAAATAAATAATACGTTAAGTTTGCTAGTCTTAATAGCGTAGTATACAACATATAATATGACGTGTGTTACAGGAATAAAACTGTTCTACATGTTTTCTTTTGCTAGTCGCGCGTGTCCAAGCAATTGTTCATTTTTCATCACACATTGTAGCATTTTTCCTTAGATGATCGTAATCGCGGCGGTAATGAGGTCCCGGTGCTTTGCCAATGACGTGGATAATGGTGGCACATAAACCGTCTTCTTTAAATACCCACACAGAAATAAAATTCACCCAGTGTGTGGTGTGAACTTCTGGAAAGCATCAATAC